GGGGGTGGGAGTGGAGGGGGGGGCATGTGTGTGTGTGTGCGTGTCAATGGGGGAAGGAGACATGTAATACTTTAAATAATAGTAAAAAAATACACATTTGAGCTTACTAGGCCTTCAAATAGTATATTTTTAAAAATGTTTTCTCTTGGTGGGAAGTTCATTAAATGGGGCAAAGAAACTATTGATCTTAAAAGGTTTGAGGTAAAGTGGTGATCCTCAACCAGAAGCACATTAAAATCACTGGAGACTTAAAAAAAAAGATCAATATCCAGGTCCCACTGCAGCCAAGTAAACAGGACTCTGTGAGGGCGGGGCCTGACCACTGTTTTAGCAATGCCCAGCGATTCCCATGTGCACGAGTAGAGTGCGCTAACAGTATGAGACCAACAAGGGTCCATGTAAATTAAGACAGTTACAATTTAAAAGGAAAAAAGGTTGGGCCCTGGCCTGTGTGGCTCAGTTGGCAGGTTAGATTCCCTATCAGGAAACATTCCCTAGGTTGCCCTAGGTGGGCATATTGGAGGTAACAGACATGGATTTCTCTCCGCCCCCCCTCTTCCTCCCACTCTCTCTAGAATCAATTAAAAAAGGGGGGGGGGGATAAAAAAAGGGGGGGGGGGTAGCTGCTGGTAATGGTTTCAAGTATGTTAAAGAAAACAAAAGTTTTGATTTTATTCTTTAGACAAATCTCCAAGTCTTAGGTATTCATCATGCTCAGACTCAAGCAAAACTGTACACAAAGATAAAAGGCCTAATAAATCCTGTATCTGGTTAGTGGACTTTTAATTTTTATGGATAGAACATTCCCCTTTCTGTATGTCAATTAACCCCTCCTGACAATACAGGCTGGAGATATATGTTCCAATCAGTCATCACATACAGAAATGAACCAAAATTACTTAATCTTTTAGAAACAAAATCAATGACTCACAAACTATGGCATTTTATTTCAGAGCCTTTGCTTACATTTGTACAATATATTACATAATTCTTCATTGTTTGCAGATCCTAATATATACTTTATAGCTTTTATTCTATAAGCTTTTTCTTCAATGTTTTGCTGTCAACAAATCTTTACAGTCCTGTACAAATTTGAGTAACTTGAAACCATTTTCAACAAAATTAGTTACTGTAAGCACACACTACAAGACTGAAAATGCTTTTCTTAGAAAAGTTGAATGTAAAGGATTCTGACACGTTAGCATCTACAACAAAACGCTTCAAAATTCTCACATCATATTGCCTGAAAACAAATAAAACATGCCAGCCCCATTAAAAAAAAAAGTACACAGAACTACAATTAAAACAGTAAAACAGTCTGTACAGTAAAGTACTGTGTATTAACAGTGCCAGGTATTAAATAGCTTGAATGAACACATCCGCAATATACAAATGTCTTACAAAGGTGGAGAATTAAATACAAGTGCCAAACAGAACAGAGGTTGGAATCATACAACATAAAGTCCATACAAGTGAAAACAATTCTGCGTTCATTTATTTTATACAAGGCATTTAATTTCATAGGCCTACTACCCGATTACCTATTTATACTTCAACCTTGAACCATACTAATACAGTTTACTTGTTCCTGAAATCCTCTTGTTGTAGCTCATAATAAAATAAGCAATACAAATGAGTTATCTGTATTTAAGGAAAAGAAACATTTACAAGAAAACACAAAAATATAACTGTTATAATTCATTATGAATAAATATACACTTTGAACTGGCTAAATACAATCTATACATTGTTTAAGATTTAATACAGTTTATTAGCCATTTTCTTTTTTCACACAATGTATTATATCAAAATTAAAAAAAAATACTGATTTATAGAAAAATGGCAAAGTACAGTAGTTCCATTCCAATTTGAAGGGGTATGAAAAGCCACTGCAAGACCTTTTAGCCTAATTCAAACCTGTAAACATGTTCAGTCTTTTTTAAAGAGAATCTTTAATATTTGGTTACCAGGACTGATGTCTGATGTCCTGTTAACGGCAGGTTTTGAATTTATTACATGTGCTTGACTTATACAATTAAAGCCACCGCAAAGTGACTCTCTTTAAAAAACAATTAGCTTGTACAAATGAAAATAGGTTCATATTTTTTTCATAAATAAATGGAAAAATATCAAATGCTCCAGCTTTAACAAAATACAAGGGAATACATATACAGTAAGTTATCTTACCATTTTCTGGCCACCCAATAATTACGCTTACTGTATTGTCTCTACAGGCAGTGAAAAGCCTCCATTAGCCACAGTGGAAGGCCTTCAAGTCACCAGACACACAATTCCCAGACAAGTTGGAAACAATTATTGCTTGAGGAAAAGCAGTTCATTGTACTTTTTCTTCATAAAAAAAGTGCACTTAAGTGCCAAGTCAGCTTGTCAAGAAACAATTTTTAAATATAAAATAGTGCTTTGTCTGATTTTTTGTGCCACTGTGCAGTATAAAAAAGACGTGGCCCTCACAGCCATTAAGTGCAAAGTGCTTGAGCAAGTCCTGCTGTCACCTGCACTCGACTGACATTCCATTTTGTGATGCGCTGGACATTGATGGTTCAGCTAACGTTAACATAACAGCAGCTGTTATGGAACTGGATGAGGGTGAAGAAGAGGATGAGGATGTAGCAGCACCTAAAGGGACAGGGAAACCAAATCAATAGCGTAATAGAACGTATACCCAACAATAAACAGGAGTAAATCACTAGACTACAATTCGGCTGTAGTCTCCAAAATTATTTCGCTTACAAGGGCAGTCAATGTTACCTACATAGTTTTATTAACCAAAGTCACCCCAATAAATACAATAAATAAAATTTTTTAAAAAAGCATCCCTGGCTGCTGGGGCTTCGCTGGTTGGAGCGTTGTCCTGTACACCAGAAGGTTGTGGGTTCAATTCCTGGTCAGGGCACATACCCAGGTTTCATGTTTTATCCCTAGTTAGGGTGTGTGTGAGAGGCAACCAATTGATGTTTCACTTTCACATTGATGTCTCTCTCTCTCTCCCTCTCCTTTCCTCTTTCGAAAATCATTAAAAAGCATGTCTTCAGGTAAGGATTAAAAAAAAAATAGTAAAGTCTCGTCCCACAATCCCATAATATAAAGAAAGGAAAACCAAGTTATGCCTCAAGAAGCTAAGCAGATGGAATAGAAAGGACTAGGAACTGCTCCTATCTGGGTAGATAAAGAGACAGCTTGTGCCCAGTCTATCAGGGCATGGAAATAAGAGAGCAGGCTTTATGTAATAATAAAACCAATGCCAGAAAGAGCTTTGAATCCAATAGAAAAAATCTACAATCCACCCCAAAATCTTCCCCCTCTAATTCCTGTATCTTTCTACGTTTGGACTTTCTTGTGAATTTAAATGGTGATGAGAATGGAAGGCTAACTGCTTCTTAAAGATGGAACAAAAGGGTCCACAGCTCAACTATTGCATCACACAGCTGGCTACTCCCCTCCTCCTAAAACTCTTTTCTTGGCCATCTTCTCGTTTTCTTCATTCAAGGCTACTCCTTGCTGCTCTGGCTTCTCCTCGCTCTACCTATAAAAGCTGGCTTGTTCCACGTTTCTTGTTCTTTCCGATCCACACTTCTTTCCTGGGTGACCTACTCAAGTACTGGGGCTTAAAAAACCAGGTGCAGTAACTGTTGTACCATAGATACGCAAATGACTTGAAAATTATATCTCTAGTCTTGATTTGTCCCCCGAGCTACAAACTTCTATATCCCACTGTCTGCCTGGCATGCCCCTTGGAAGTCCAAGGGGCATTTCAAAAACAGGAATAAAACAGCTTCTGGTCCTCTCTGTCCCCAGCCTTCAACCTGTCTTTTCTAGGTCTTACTTGTTTCCAACACTGGCGCCACATATCAGTCTGTGGCACCTGGTTATGGCAGCCTTGCTGAAACAAAGACAAGTTTTTCCCTCAGATTGAGTCTATTTTCTCATAGCACTTTCATTTTTAAATATATTTTTATTGATTTCAGAGAGGAAGGGAGAGGACAATAAGAAACATCAATGATGAGAGAGAATCATGATCAGCTGACCCCGCACGCGCCCTACTGGGGATCAAGCCCACAACCCCAGCATGTGCCCTGACAGGGAATCGAACCTGTGACCTCTCGGTGCATGGGACAAAGCTCAACCAACTGAGCCACACCGGCTAGGGCCACAGCACTTTTCACTAACCGAAATTTTATTAGGATTTTTGGGGGGACAGACTATATGCTCTATGAAAGTGAACACCATGATTTGAGTTTATTTAGGCAGATTTTTCCATTTGATAGGGAGAGGAAAGTAAGAGAGATTAAAGAACTTGCCTGAAGACATACAGGACAAACTCATGTGAGTCTAATGCAGTCACAGCTGCTTTATGTGTAAGTAAAGGTAGAAACACTTACTTTCTCTTTCTTTCTTCTTCAAACGCTTTCTCCTACGATCAATGGAAGCTACTTCAGATTTTAATGACAGATAATGTTTTCTGATTTCTTGCAATTTTTCTTGAAGAATTGTGATGCGTTCAGCAGTTGTCATATTTTCAAGGTCCGCTGTCAATTTTAAAACTTTTATTAATATGTATTTTTGAACAAAATGTTAAGATATAAAAGAAACAACATACAGTGTGGCTGTAGAATGAGGTCAAGAAGAAAAACTAAAAATAAGGCTTGTAAATTTGTTTCCTAAGATTTTTTTTCTTAGCCTAGAACAATGCCTGGTGCATAATATATGCACAATATTTGATGAACTAATGAGTGTGGAGAATCAAAGACCTTACAACCTAAACACGTATGCTAAAAATTCCACATCATGTACAGTATCATCACAGTATATCGTATAAACTCATACTTAGAAACAAGACGGGGAAGACACCAAAATGTTAAAATTGTTTATATTTTCGAATGTCAGGACTGTGGAAACATTTTTTAAAATCCTTTTCAGATTTTTTTAGAGTATGTATGCATAACTTTTAAATTGGAGAAACTTTTTTCAAAGGCTCTAAAGCAATTTTCAATATCCTAAGAATATTTTTCTGTGTAAGAAACTCTGGGGTAGTCTCCACCCCCAAAAAATATATATATTATGGAGATTTCTCATGTACACAGAAGTATAGAGTAGTATGATGAAGCCCCATCTGCCCATCATCCACCTTCAGTTATTAGCAATTCATGTCGAATCTTGTCTCATTTATACCCCTTGCACTCCCCACCCCAAATCAGAAATACCTAGCATATGTTGATATTTTCCTCAATTACCTTCAAATTTTTCTTTTAGCAATCTGTTTATTCAAATCGAGATCCAAATAAAGTCTCTATAATGCAACTGGTTATTGGGACTCTTAAGCTTGGTTATAAACTGCTTTTCACTTACGAGCATCAAGAGTTACTAGGATAAAGCTTCTACAGACTGACCAGCTGTCCATTCGGTATCTGCCACTTACACATCTGAAAGCTCCACTTGTAAACCTTGGGTAACCGATTACTGGGTTCCTTGAGGTCAGGATCCTTGTCCCCATTCTTCCCACATTTTCCCGGCGACTGTGTCCGTGCGGGCGACTTGGCGCTGTGAGCGCTGTGAGCCTTCATTCCCGTGGACAGGGATTTGACGGGCTGCGTCTTAGTGACACTCTCCCCGGCAGAAAGTTCTTCACTGTCGCTACTGTTGGCTGAAAACACAAGCGAAAGAAAAGCATTAGAAACAGAAAAGTAACAAAGGTTTTGCCACAGATTTTAATGGACAATTTAAAATTAACCATTTGAATTTATTACTACAGTATACAACTTGTTTTATGGAAGCTGCCTAAACGCTTGAAAAATCATCATGTACAAATGCACCGGCACAGTTAAGCAAAACAAAACTCCTTACCTGAGTTGCCAATAGTACTTAAAAAAAAACACAAAAAAAAACCCCACAAAAAACAACCCTAATCTTCCATTATACTTGGTAGACTGTCAAATATACAGTAATTATCTGAATGGCTTTTTATTCCATTATGTTAATATATAAAAAAATAGAATACAGAATCTTTTAAACCGACTCATTATAGAAACTTCTTAATTTTAACACTTTAGGTTGTATAAATGTATACTATTCCTTTGGTCACAAACAAACAATGATGCATAATCATCATGTTCAATAAAAATTATTCGGGAGTAAACACTAAACTTTGATACATACAATGAATTTCTTAACTCCTACATCATAGCTTGCTGACTGCAATAAACCATCAGTTTTACCCTGGTAAATAGATTCAGTAATTTATGAAAAATTCTGAGGTCTATGTAATATTCTGTTACACCTGTTTTGCTGACTAAAGCCTCAGTACCATAGAAATGGTTAACACCTTGATAAATTTAACATGTGACTGACTAGATGATGGCACTGATTTTCCCATCCATTTCCTCTTTCTGGATAAAAAGTATTATTTTAGATTCCATGACAGTTAATTCATTTAACTGAATTATTTTCAAAGAATGGATGGTATCCTCATTCTGATTTACCAAGGTGTAAGCCCAATAATTAAAATGTGAGAAAGCAATCAACAGTTTTATCTTAAATTATATGAATGTTAACTGTGTTGCTGAAGATGACCCCTCTTAGGAAATGTCATTTAAATGGTAAAGTCTTGAAGACAAAAACATTATAGTGTAATAAAAAAAATGCTTTAACTGTCTAAACTGTTGTTACTCCAAATAACTTACAATCAAATGGGCATCTATTTATTGATGCTTCATTGAACAACAGCTACCAGAAATAAAAGAATATGGTTAGGCTCTAAGGCCTGAAAAATACTCCAAACAGGGAAGGTGCATAGCATCTCCTCCACTGTGGTGTTCTAGGAATAAAGAGACTCCACCACTCCTTACACCACATTTCCTCATCAAATCCCCTCCCAGACCCCCCACTGCTGCTCTGGAACCCCTGGCAACTCCTGGCTAAGCCCCCAAGGCTCGGCCCCACTATGATGCAGTGGTCTGCCTCAGCCTGGCTCTCATGGCCTTGCTGAGCACAGCCGCCCGGGGCCCCAAGGAACGCCATATTCACCGCCTGGAAGTCATATGGGCTCAGCAGAACCTCGGGGCGCTGGCCGCATAACCCTTTCTGCACTGAAGTGCAGCCAAGCCGGCCGATAGCAAAGGTCAGGCAGTGGAGGTGGCAGGAGTCTCCTGGAAGAGCAGCAGGAGTCAGTGTGGGACACCTGAAAAAAAATTCTTTACATATTTTCCGCTTCTCACTTTGTCTACGAGAGAGAGATAAAATGTGCAGCTCTCAGGAGAAATACAGTATATATATTCCTGTAGGTCGATGAACAGTCATTGATAAAGTTAAGTCTTCAGTTAGAGCCCACTTAACCAATGGATATAGTATATGTTGCTCATAGCTACTCTTGGCCACATGGCTCGAGGTTCCCAAGATAAAGGTGGTAACTGGAGTTGTTGGGATTACAGCGCCAAAGCTGTCTTGATTGTTCTCTCCTAGGCTGATTTTGCCTTGAAGAATTCAAAGCAATCAATTTATCGTAATAAAAATAATACATAACTGAAGCATTTCATAATGTGATATGACAAGGGGAAAGAACTATGGAGCATAAAACAAACATGAAAATGTTGTTTATATTAAAGGAGCGGTAGCTGTTATTTTTAAAAAGATTGCTGGCTCATTCATCATTCATTCTTCATCATTCATATTCATCAGCAATGAATAACACTGCTGAATAAGACCAAACTGCTTAATCCTAGAATTTACCTAGGATCTGAAGACTTGTGTGACATTTTGTGGGTAGTGACAAAATTAAAATATTGACTTAGCCCTGGCCGGTGTGGCTCTGTTGGTTGGAGCGTCATCCCATACATACACTGAAAGGTCTCGGGTTCAATTCCCAGTCAGGACACATACCCAGGTTGCAGGTTCATACAGGAGGCAACCAATCAATGGTTCTCTCTCTCTCTTTCCATCTCCCTTCCTCTCTCTCTCAAATCAATAAAAAACATATCTTCAGGTGAGGATTAAATAAAATACATATATTGACTTATACCACATCCTGAATACCTTAATGGGGGAAAAATATCCGCCATAATTTTTAAAGTTACTGGTATAGTTGACATACAGTAATTCCTTCCAGGCTTACAAAATAGTAATTCAACATTTATATACCTTACAAAGTGATCACCATATCCGCCATTATTTTTATATCTAAAAAAATTAAAGGTTTTACAACTTACTGCCTTTTCCTTTCTTTTTGTTGTTTACCACTGTTGCTTTATGGCTTCGTTTCTGCTTTTTCGATGAACTTCCTCCTCCTTGGGCTTCTTTCGCTCTTTTCTGACCTGTACAGGCTACGATGGGAAAGAAATGATTAAGTAACACAATATAAAAATCAAGCTTTTCCTAGGCATAACTTAACTCCACATTTTGTAAGTATAGAACAATTCTGAAACTATACATGCTCTTTATGAGATCTATAAATTATCATAGAACTTAGTATTATTTTTTAAATAAATTGTTATTAATGAGCTCACTTATTGCACATAATAAAAGTTAGAGGGTTTTTTTTTAAAGCTAATGAAGTGTGAACATCCTTCTTAGAAAAATCAGATATAAACTGAAAATAGTTCTCAATATAGTACTGAGAGCTTATGAGTCTAGTAGTAATTCAAAAACAGGCATATGCTGAAAATTAAAATTTGTTAAAATTCAGTAAAACCAAAATATTAAAGTTTAATTACAGGTTAAATGTTAATAATATATCTTATAATGATATTAATATAATTTTAAATGATATGATACGAATGGGATAAATTTTAGTAGTAATTCAGTTATATTACGCATTTATTTATTTCATCAGTAACGTAGTTCTCAGGGCACTTACAAATCCAGCAATAGCAGTTCTAAGTAACGGTTCATCTTCTTGGTAGAAGATTATCCAAAATGTTTTAAATGTCTCCTTTCCTTTAAGGACTAGCCCAAGTCCCAAACGTTCCCTAACTTTCCCTGCTGCTCAGGTTTCACTGATTGATCACTGCTCTACACTGTGGTTTCTATACTTTTTCCTTTTTACTAATCTGGTCCTCAGCATCTCCTGTGTTTCTGATTCTTTCCAACTGCAAGTATTTTCTCCCGGACTCCACGGTAAGTTCTTTTTCCATAGATAAAGTCCTACCTATTCAGTTCCAACGTCACATACTATAATAACATGATATAATTAATTTTAGGATAAAATTATGCCATGTTTGCTACAAAAAAGTTTCTTAGTCCTATTACCAGTGGTAAACTCAACTTTGAGTATGTAAGACATGGCTTCCGAGGTCAAAAATGAAACAGAACTGTTTTGTTTGAAACTTTAATAGATTTCCTTTTTAATGGGTGTATCTATTGATAACTTTTCCTAATGCTATTTTAATATTACAAAGTGAAACATAAAGGTGACTTAGATATTGATTATACAGAAGCAGACTCTTAAAAATAATTGCCAGATTTTTCCTCAAGAGTTTAATTCTGAAACTTTCAGGTTAATGTAGGCTAAACTGGAGGAAAATCCTAAATCTAAATTGCAAGACTTACATTTTTATTTTTAATACAATGTAAATTCTCTAATATCAGTAGACAACTTTATTAAAATGAGGTCATATTAAACAGGTGCTTAAAAAGTTATCCCTGCCCTGGCCAGTGTGGCTTGGTTGGTCATCCTATACACCAAAAGGTCAAAGGTACAATTCCCAGTCAGGGCACATGCCCAGGTTGTGGGTTCAATCCCCAGTTGGGGCACATGTGGGAGGCAACTGATCGATGTTTCACTCTCACATCAATGTTTTTTCCTCTCTCTCCCTTCCTTTCTCTCTTAAAATCAGTTAAAATTATTTTTTTTAAATAAAGGAATAAATTATTAAAAAATACTATATGCTGTGACATGATAAAGCAGATGGTCCTCTGCTACCCTAAATCTGGAAGTTCTCATGTTTCTTTTTAACCTATTCAAGATTAAAATTCAGAAGAACTACCATATCTTTTAATTTTTTTTATTTTTCATAAGATGAGGAACACAGTTAAAGATACAATCTTGTAAGAATTATAAGTATTAAAATTCTATCATGCTATTGTCAAAAGTCTCTCTAATCATTTATGACAAAGGCTTCTCTAATTTTGAAGATTAATTATGCCTGGAAAATTCAGTTCCATAAGATAGTATGGCAGACAAATACAATCATAGTAGCTATATCTGTGAATGTAAAAAAAAAAAAACAATAAAGAACATCCCAATTTAATAGCAATTATATTTTTTACTTAGTATTTATTGTTCCAAAAGAAATATTTTAAGTCAAGATTTGTGTGACAATGTTATATCAATTATCTCTCAATAAAGCTGGAGGAGGAAAAAATGATTTGTGTGAGAAAACTTGGATTTAACTAATCTGATCTAGATTCTATCTCTTAAGCTAAGAACCTAAAGCTAGCATAATAAAACCTGTTATGTTACATAAAATACATACCCTACCTAGTGCTCTGCCTTTACAACGGACAAGAGTGCTTTGGAGCCAAGTGTCTGACTAGAGTATACCAATTTAAAGACACCTGAGTGAAGTGGTGTATAAGAAAAATGATGACAGCAGTATAGCTATGGCATTATCAAAAGGTACTAATACTTTTGGAAAGTACTCATTTGAATTTCCACTTTTAACGACTTCACGGAAAATCAAAAAAGTATTACTGTAGGTTAGTCACATACACATTGGTCCTTCAATTTGGTAGCTATGCATCTAAGAAAGCATCAAATTCCTTTACAAACTCACACAAGTTAGTCAGGCTTGAAAATCTGTTTGACACGGTTGTCTGAGGAAAGCAGTGCCTGGCCAGGTGGTTGCTCCAAACCCCTACATACAGATTTGGTTAAGGTTGGAGGGGTCTGTCAATAAATCAAAATGTTCGTGAGAAACTGCACATGACAATCGCACACACAACGTTACAGAAATATATTTAAGCTGCTCATGCCACACAGTCCACCGGCGGAGAATGCCTTTCCTAACGGGTCCGGACTGGGGCCTGGGTGCCAAGGACACCAAGTCCTTCTCAAGCTTTGAGATAACGCATTCCACTACTCATTACTCAGATGACTTTCCAAGCTGCCTTCGCACTAGTGCTTCCTTAGGAAGCCACCGGGAGGGAGGGAGGGGACCCTAAGGCGGCCCAGGCCTCGCTGCTCACCTTTCTCCGAGGGCTCGGGCTCGGGCTGGGTGCTGCTGCTGGAGCTCACGCTGGCATCGCAGCCGGCGGGCGAGCTGTTCCCCTCCGACTGCAGGTCCTGGAGCTCCCCGGCGACACTGTCCACCTCAATGGTGCTGTCGGTCTCACTCTTGATACTTCGCACCTCTTCTTGGTTTGGGGCCAGAGCGTCTGATGCTGACACCGAAGACGGCTGCTGCCCGGCCTCCGTGACGGTGACCGAGGAAGGGGACTCCGGGGTGGTAGGAGGGGTGTTCAGCACTGAATTGCTGCCGCTGCTCGGAAACTCGGCCTTTTTGTCACTGGCTTCCAGGGGCTTCTCCTCGGCGGG